TAATAAAATAAATAAAATAAAAAAATCAAAATAAATAAATAAATCAAACAAAAATAAATCAACTTGATTAGATAAATAAAGAAATACCAATGTTATTTAATATGAATTTAATACAAACAACCTGATTCCAGATTTGTTATTAAAATGGATAAAAAAACAAAAATTATAATTAAAAATAATTATAATATAATTCACACACAAGATATAATTATAATTAATTATTATAATTGTATACAATAATATAACAATAACACTATGTTAAATCACTCTATAGCGTACAATGTTTTTGTTACTCCTAATATGACAACAAAATTAATAAATAATTTGTTCTTTTTGCATAAAATACATTGAATTTTTATAGAATTTAGGAGAAAAAATAACAAATTCGATATTTTACAAGAAAATACAAAATGTAATGAGACTTTGTAAAACTATTTTTATATATGTTGATGGAATTTTTACAGATACACGCACTTCTTTTTCTCCTGCCGATCCTTAAAAGATTCCTGTTTATTATATTAGCCATATGAAACTACATATAATGTTAAAAGTGAAAAATCGTGTAAATTCTTTTTTTGCGGAAATTATGTGTTTGTGCGCGGGTGCGTGTGTGTGTGTACGTGTGTGCGTGCACACAATGTTTTACAAAAGTTTATATTTCAAACTTTTAATTAAATCGATACTCGCAAGTATTATTGCCTCTTTTCCGCTGATTGGTGGAATGCTGATTGGTTATCTCGACGCTGTATTGTGCATTACTTCAGCTTTTAGCACCGAAGTTAGCGATCTAGTATGATATTAGAAGTCTATGGTTTTGTAACTTGTGTTTTTTACATTTTGAACAAAACTGTTTTGATACTTTGATTTATTTTATTAGTGAACGAAAAAAGAAAAGGAATGAGAAAAATGAAAATAACTATTTAACACTCAAATATGTTTCGAGATATCTTAGGAAAAATAATGTTCAACACAGGAAGGAATTATTTGAAACTTGTAAGGGAAGCCAGAATTTTACATTTAGACAGTCGGAAGTGTATACCTCAAAAGCCTGAACTTAAAACATTACCAAGTAAGAAAATAACAGAGTTATGTGTATTTCACATATTTAATTGTGATACTTTACTCACATTAAATTTGCATACTGTGTGTTTACAGTTTTTCAATATCCAGTAAGTCAAGAAGATACTCGTAGGGTTTATGTATGGGGTCTTGCAGAACATGGAGCTCTTGGGGAAGTAAAAGCATTGCGAAAAAATACAATTTCATATCTCTCAAAGCCAAAGAGATTACAGTTTGCTGAACAATACAAAGTAACAGATATTGCTTGTGGATACGGTTTTACAGTTTATGCTGTACATTCTTCAGATAAAAATATTGTTTATGGAACTGGAATAAATACAGATTCGCAACTTGGTAATTAAGAATTGAACTTCCTATTTTAGCTTTGTATTAAAATTATTAAATTATTTTTGTTTTATTCAAAACAAGTTTTAATCTTGAAAATTGTATCACAAGCTATTTTTCTATAATAGGTTTTAATGAAACTGACAAAAGATTTCCTGATAATATGGTGTTTGTTCCAAGACCAATAAATTTGCCATTGCTGAGAGAGAATGCTTCAACAAAAGTTATGGGCATGGCTGCTGGGAGAGCACATTTGTTAATATTAACAACGGAAGGTTTGTTCACATTGGGCAATAATGCATATGGTCAATGTGGTAGGCCAATTATATTGAATGAAAATTACGAGAAAAACAAGGTTGTTCATCATATACCTAATATTAAAGGACATAAAATTACTGCAGTGGCAGCTGGTCAAGATCATAGGTATAAAATTCTGATTCAATATTAATTACATAATTGCAATTTTTTCTTATATATTTTTCTCATTACCATTATATATAACAGCATACTCTTGACAGAGATAGGTGAGGTATATACATTTGGCTGGGGTGCCGATGGACAAACAGGTCTTGCGCATTATCGAAATGAACATCGACCAAGTTTAGTTAAAGGTGATCTGGCTGGACAGCGTATAATCAAAGTTGCTTGCATTGCTGATTGTGTGTTAGCTCTTAGTGGTATGCAAGAATATATTTTTTTCTGGATTTGATATAAATAATTCATAAAAAACCAAAGTAAGTGAATGAAAAATATTTCTGCTTAAGATAAAGGGAAAGTCTATGGTTGGGGTAATTCAGAGTACGGACAATTACCAATCAAAGGAGATAGTTGTCAAGTAAATATTGCTACAGAATTAAATATATCTCAAGAATTAGGACATATTACAGACATTGCAACAGGTGGATGTTCTTGCATGATTTTAAACAGTAGGTATTAATATATAATTTATGGTATTATAAATCAACTTTATTTTATTGATTATTGTTCATACTTTCAATTTAAAAAAATACTAAAACTTTTACTAAGATCTTATTTGAAAATATTAAATTTGTTTACATCAGTTTCATTTATTTTGTGTATCATATATGTGCTAATATATCCTTGCACCAATTAATATATTTACATTATAGATGTTGGTAATGTCTATGTATGGGGATATGGTATACTTGGTCTTGGTCCTCAAGTGCAGAAAATATTAAAACCAACTATGATCCCTCCTACATTATTTGGCAATAATGTGTATAATCGTGATATCAAGGTAATTAAAATAATACAAAATTTTAAAAATCCGGAAACTTTTTAATATATATTTTGTTCATAAATTTATTTTTTACATACATAGATAACAAAAATATATTGTGGGATTAGTCAATTAGCAGCACTAACCAATTCAGGAGATTTATATATGTGGGGTAACAATAAATTTGGATCATTGGGACTAGGACATATAAAGGATCAATTCTTCCCTTTGAGGGTAAAATTTTATTATATATATATATAAAATTTTCAATCCATTCTGGTGCTCCCTGTTAACTGTCACAAATGTGATCTGGAACACCCTGTATATTTTATTTAAAAAAATAAGTAAAAGGATAAAGTAATAGGATATAAGTACATAATATATCTATGATCTTTATATGAGAGTTTTGCATATAGTAATCTGTGATCTTCTTATAATAGGTAGCAGTAGGAGCTCAAGTAAAAAAAGTTGCCTGTGGAGTGGATCATACAGTGGCTCTTTGTAAACCTTTCATTTAAAAGTGCAACACTCTTCATTACATGCCGATTTATTTATATAAACAAATTTATATATAATTTCTTGTTTTAACATATTTACTTTCATCAATACACATGCGCGCGCGCGCACACACACACACATACACATACAAATAATACAATAATTACAAAATGTTTCATGAACTTGTTGTAAAAGTGTAAAATAATAAAATACATATGGATATGATTTACAATTAATTTAGCAGTTGACTAATGTTGAACATACATATGTCAAAACTTTAATTTTGCTTATTTTTTATAAAAGTTAATTTATATAATATTTTGGTATTGTGTATTATAGAAAGATATAAATGGTACTTATGATTAGGACAGAAATGCTTAGCATATTTATGTGTGCACTACTTACACATACCAAATTTTCATAAGAAATGGTGTATTTTATCATGTGAGGGAATCTGCATATCTTTGTATCTAAAGAAAATAGATATTATATTAGAAAATACATAAAAAAAGAAATATGCGAAATTATTAATAAATATTATTTATTTATAAATAATATTTAATTATTATTAATTATTAATTATTATTTATAACTATATATAAAAATTTAGTAGTAAGGGGAAGCGCGCTCGCTCCCTTCACTCCACACTTTGCAATGGGAAGATGTCGCTGGACAGGATGTCGTCAAAGATCAAGCGTCTTACTATATACAAGAATATATTTCCAGAATTATTTACACGTCGTAAGGTATATACAGGCATTTATGTTTAGTTTGCTTTTTGGGAGGCCCTGAAGAGGGCCGATTGGGCGCTGGTGTATGCGCCTACTGCAGGCGTTCACGCCACTGGAGCGACGGTGCCGTGGAGGTGTACCGTGGTGGACCCCACTTTGTTCGGAGCGCCGGAGGAGTCCCGGGAGGAGTGTAGCTCCTCTCCGGCAGCGGCGGTTCGTTCGTCTGGGTTGCGGAAGTGCGCGAAGCTTCTTCCTAGTCCGAGAGGTCCGACTGCGTGGCCCGTTCACAGGTGGAGGTGTTGGTCACCTGTGTAGCCTTCTCGGAGGTGGATGCGAGCGACTGAGTTCCCCTATGTATCGTACAGATAGAGTTGGTCTGCGTCTCACAGTGGTGGCGTTCGTTTGGTGCTGGCGATGGTGGACGCGGCGACAGGCGTGGAGGGTAGCTCCAGTCGTACGTAGGCGACGTGTAGCGCCTAACCCTGACGCCCCACGTCGACAGGAAGTCTCTGCCCGGATGGGTGAAACGCACCGGCGACAGTTCCAAAGGCTGCAGCTTCCACTCCCGGAAAGACCAGCTGATGTGCCGGCGAGTGGAAGTGTTGGTCGGTGGCTCCGCAGGAGGTCCGATCCGAAATAAAGGCCCCGGTGATGCGGGCGGCGGAAAGGGACGTGGACGTTCCTCGTGGTGTGTCTTCTTTCGCCTAGGCAAGGTGCGGAAAGTTTCTACGGACGGACCCGAGTTCCATCCGCCGTCGCTAAACTCTGTGCTGCTAAACGAGAGAAGTCCTCTCTAGCAGCTGTGAGCCGCGATTGGTGATGTCGATCGGCTCACCTCCTTATATCCTACCACTCGTTGGACCCCACTTACTGGCGCCGGCTCGCGGCTGCCGCCGCGTCGCGGTAGGCTCTCGTAGTTTCTCGAGCTTGCACGTGTTCAGCGCGTGTGTCTTGGGCGCGCGCGCTTGCCGCCATTTCGCAAGGGGCGCATTGGCTCTTCGCGCGCCCGTACTTTTGTGGTGGTTATCCGCCGCAATATGTATTATTATATATATACATATACATATTTATATAAAATTACAGCGCCTATGACATAATTATATGTGTGAGAGTATATACAGGGTGTTCCAGCTAACTTGACCACCTTGAATATCTCGCTTATTTTTAATGATAGAAAGAAATGGCATAGACAAGAATTGTTCGTTGTCAGGGGGCGAATACCGTCCCGTATAAAAAAACTTTTTTCAAGGTCATACTTTTTGAGATTTTAAGGTTATCGATATTTTTTAAAATGGGATTAGATATTTTTTTTATCATGGCGTGATAGTAAAGGTGGAGATCTTTCCAACGACCTATTACACAATGACCTTCACGTGACCTTGACCATGGAAAATCAAAAAATAATTGGAAATGTTATAAATAATGGAATACTTACGATAAAAGGTTTAATAGAAAAAATTTATTTCAACAAATGCTCAAAATGATGTCCATCAACTTCAATACATTTTTGTATACGGCCAATAAATGATTCTCTTGTCCTCCTTATTGTTTCCTGACTGATATTAGAACATGCAGTTCTAATACGCATCCTCATATCTTCGGGCGTTGTTGGAACATGTTCATAAATGATGTCCTTAAGTAATCCCCATAACAAAAAAACCAATGGAGTCAGATTAGGTGAATGTGGAGGCCATACAACGTTTGCACCTCGCCCAATCCAACGTCGAGGAAACTTTTCATCCAATATTCCACGGGCTACTCTTGCATTGTGGGCCGGACATCCATCATGCTGATACCACATCTCAATCCTTTGAGCTAATGGTATTCCTTCCAATAGGTGAGGTAATTCCTCAGTCAAAAAATTCGCATACTTTTCACCATTCAAAATACCATCAATGAAAAATGGTCCAATGATCTGGTCCCCGAGAATTCCACACCATACATTTACATTCCATGGACGCTGGTGTACCACTTGTTGAAGCCATTTCGGATTTTCAATGAACCAATAATGCATATTATGTGTATTCAATTGTCCATGGTTGGTAAAACTTGATTCATCCGTGAAAAGCACGTTGGAAAAGAAATTTTCATTCATTCGGATTTGTTGCATCGCCCATTCACAAAACATCACGCGATTTTGGAAGTCGGTGCCATGAAGCTCCAGATGTAGAGAAATATGGAACGGATGGAATTTATGACGTTGAAGTATTCGGTGTATACTTGATTTGGAAATACCATGATAACGTTCGATTTTCCGACAACTGGTTTGGGGATCGTTTCTTATTGCAGCCAATACAGCAATATCTGTTGCTTCTCCAGTGACAGGTCTCGATCGTTTCCTTTTGGGTAGGTTAACACTGCCAGTGCCACGAAATAATTGAACTGTACGATCAAAACTCCTTCGAGAAGGATGATTCCTTTCCGAAGGAATAATTAACTAACATTGCATGATAACATTCCTCCTCTTCGAACCATTCTGTTGAATGGATACAAGATACAAGAAACTTAATCACTAACATTAGCCGAGGCATAAGATGGTTCCATTGTTTTGACCTTGAGTGAACATATTCTTGTAGGTAGGTTACCTTGAGAGCTGTTCAAAACACTATAATAAAATATTTTTTTCATTAAGTAGTTTTTGAGTTATTTTATATCCTAATCTGACATATTTTGATATAAAAAATAAAATATCTCGTAAAATATTTAGTTTTCGATAATCTTACCGTAGTACTTTTATGGGTAAATATAGCGAATAGGGGACCCAGCCCCAATGATCTTGACCTTGACATATGTTGTCAAGGACATAATTCTGAGTAACTTTTTCTTCTAATTTAATCGTCGCTCGTTGCTTATTAAAAAGTTATTAACAAAAAAAGTTTG